GTTAAAGTTCTATATCCTACTTGGCTGAGAGCAACTAGGGTTTTAAAGGTCTGTCAGTGCCCATCTCAGGTGCAACTATGGGTCTTTCTACGTTCAGAGGAAAGAAGAGTGAAGAAAATTGAAGATGAATGGAAGCAATTAGTCCAATAGACTCATAAACATCAGTCTCCATGACCCTGGAGACCAGAAGAACTAGATGGTGCCCAGCTATCACTCCCAATGGTAGTGGTCCCTGCTCTGAAAGGATTCACATTAGCAGGCTTTGGGTAGAGTGGGAGAGAACATGCAACAAAACTCAGAGTCATGAAAAAGACTAAGCTTACTGCTCAGACAGACAGAAGTGGATTCCCCACGGATATGACCCTTAGCTACCCATCAGCTTTAAAAAATGAACTCACTCCCCTGGCTCTATTTTCAGCCAAGCAAAATATAGGTCAATTAGGGGAACAGTCACACTAGTGAGACACACATACCTTAGAATATTCAACCATTTGGGCTCCAAAGGGCAGGATTTACCCAAGGACAAAGTTCACAAGAGGGAAGAATAGAAACAGGAAACGCAGGGAGGAAGTGGGATCTATGATGTTACATTGTGGGGGTTGCAGTCAATTACATGACAAAAAATGTGCATGAATCATTGAATGGAAAACGGATTAGCCCTGTAAACCTTTACCCAATTCACAATAAAATGTTTTTAAAATAATCCTTGCCTCATAAATCTAATTCCTTGAGTTTTTATTGTAGTCTAAGGAATTCCGAAGTTACAGAGCTGGGAGAGCTCCTGACATTTCATCTATTTGAATCTCTGCCTCCTGGCAAAAATTACTTCCAAAATCAGCCAGCCTTTCCCACATTACCAAGCACACCTGAGCACACAAGATCCAAAAGCATGTCAAGTGTCGGTCTACTTTGTACTATCCACTGGAATCATTATTGAGTGGTCAAAATACCAATAGATTATGCCAGGTGGAAAATGCCAGAAGAAAATCAATTGTCCTCTTTTAAACCCCTAAGAAGGCAATTTAGCCATCTGTCTGGGCAATCCATTACACAAACCTATCAGAAACATCTCTCCTCTGTTTAATCTAAATCCTTCAAATTGAACCTCAAGTTAATTTCTTCCTATTCCATTTTCAAATCGTTTGAAACACAGTTGTTTAACATGTGCCTTATGGGATTATACAATGTTGCAGGTTCCTGGTGAGCAGTCATGCATGCAAAACAGAGTTCAGTGCTTGGCACCTAACAATGGTTCTAACATATTTTTTATCATCATCATCACTGTATGTTTTAGGACTTTTTGGGTTATAAGTGGCACAACAAGTTTCACAACTTAAAATAATTCAAACAAGCAAATATGAAAGAACAATAACAACCACCAGAAACCCTAATAGAGAAGTGAAGAGTTGTCATTTAACAACTATGACCAGGACATAGCAGCTTTCAGGCCCTACTTGATCCAGGGCTCAAATACGTTCACGGGACTCTCCTTTCCCGCGTTATCCCTATGTCCTGGACCAGTTCTCTGAAGTGTCAAGAAGAGGACAGCCACTCAGGTGGGGGTAGGCCAACCTTAACCACGGATAGGACAGGCTCCCCACGACTCAGTTCACTCATCACATTTGATTGAGTCTTAACCAAGAGTCAGGGAGGGTTCCAGAAGCCGTGACGCGAGTGGTAACCGGGGCGGATAAAGTCTCTGTCATTGTGGAGTTAATTTTCTTGTCAACAGAGAAGATCTGTCAGAAGAAGGTGGCCCAGAGCTTTCTGTCTCCAAACTATGGAAAACCACCCCTCCCCCAGCTGCTCCCCCCCGCTTGGCAAACACGTAGAATCCCTCAAAGCAGGGCTGCCAGTAGATACAGTTGTCTGTGCATCTCAAGTGCATTTCGTTGATCTATGCTCTATCATTTTTCTAGAATATTTTTATGCTCTGCCTGTAGCTGTCTGTCATAGCATAAGTCCCTGCTTCTATTTTCCAATCATTTCTTTTATTAAAGCTATTTTTTAATTACATGCAAGTCATCATGATGTTTTCTTCTTCCTTTTTTTTAATAGGGGGATAATTATTTGGGCAAGTACTGCAAAAACCTGCTTATTTATTAGTCATTTAAAAAGCATTTCCTTTGTGACATTTTAATTCTATTGCTCATTCACCCATTGTAAATCGGCTAAAGAAAAAGGAGAAGAAGGCGGAGGAGGCGGCCTAGAGACCACATGTTTTGAGAACCCCAGGAAGTGTGGTCTAACAAGAGAGAATCTCAGCTTCTGCTGTCCCCTGGGAGCTCACAGTGAGGAAGCGCTTCCAAGAAGCATCTCAGCCTGTTTTATTCACATGATGGCAACGAACTTTTCATGAAAGTGAAACTAATCTGAATCTAGCCCCTCACCTGAAAATAGCCTGATTTAACAAGCACCAGCCCAGCTTTATTCCATAAATTTGTTGGTGGAGAGAGAGGAGTGGATTCTAACTGTGGTGACTCAAAGGCTGGAGTTTTCTCCCTACAGTTGCGGGGTGGATTCCACACACTAAGTTTTTTTGTTAGAAACTAAGCAATCATTGTACCACCAAACCAAACCCATGGCCTGGAGTAAGTGGATTCTGATGCATAATGGCCCTTTAGGCAGAATAGAACTGTCCCACAGGGTTTCCAAGGCTAAAATCTTTACAGAATTCTTCAAGCCACGGTTCCAATTACTGACCTTGGATGAGGAGCTTGCCCTTCACCACCGTGGTTCTAGGATTTCTTGTTGTTCCACCCAAACCCCCTGCCATCCAGGCAACCCTAGAGGGCAGTGGTTCTCAAACTTCCTAATGCTGCAACCTTTTCATACAGTTCCTCATGCTGTGGTGACCCCCCCCAACCATAACATTATTTTCGTTGCTCCTTCATCACTGTAATTTTGCTACTGTTATGAATCAGGCGACCCCTGTGAAAGGGTCATTCGACCTCCAAAGGGGTCACGACCCACATGTTGAGAACCGCTGCTATAGGGCAAAGTAGAACTGCTCCTTGGGTTCTAAGACTGTAAATCGTTAGCAGACAGCCTCATATTTCTCTTGAGGAGCAGCTGGTGTGTTTGAACTGCTGTCCTTGTGGTTGGCCGCCCAATGTACAACCGACTACTCCAATGGGGATCCTTTGTTGTTCCACTCAGGCTCCATAAATTAGTGGGCTAGCACTTCGTGTAATTCTATTTAAAGGAGGTCCTAACCTAAATAAATCTCAGGGACAACACAGAGACCAACTTTCTCTAAAGGCAAGGTTGTGTGAGTGTATGTGCATGTGTGTGTGTGGGGTGGTGGTAATTGTGTGTGTGTGAGTTGTTACTGTCCCTTTTAAAATTTAAAAGTAATATTACAAGTTCTGTTCTCTGCCTAAAATTACCTTCTCAGTGTGGTCTGCTTTTCAGCCTCCCTCCCTATTCCTTCTGCTTCCTCGCCAGGGCAATAATTTGTCTCTTTAAATCCAGACATAATGTCCAAATGGGTCTTTTGGCTCAATCAACTACCATCGTTAAAAGTGATCTCAGAATTAAACAAAAATGAATATTTAACAACAACAACAACAACAACAAAATCTCATCAGGACTATATCCCCTCACCTTCCCTTTAGCGTGGCCTTGTCTACCTTTCGAGTTGGGCTGCTAACTCTAAAGATGGCAGTTTGAAACCACCGGCCCCGCAAGGGGCAAAGATGAGGCTTTCTACTCCCATGAAGCGTTTTCAGTCGCAAAAACCCTCAAAGGTTGCTGTGAGTCCGAATCAAGTGGACGACAACCAATTTGGGTTTGGAACCCAAGCGTACCTGAGTTGGGCGCCAGCTCAGTCTCCCAAAAGGACATCCCATCCTGGATTTGTCCCTGTCCTCCAATTCAAGAAAATGGCCTGGCTCTGGGATTTTGTATGTTTGTTCTCAAAGCCCAATACCCTTATCTTCTCATACCAGCCAGAAGGTCGGCTCCAAGCCTTTATTCCTGCCCTCTTACTCGAGTGGGCACAACGCCCGCGGCCGCCTCCCGAGTTAGTTAAGGGAACTTTCCCAGGGAGGTGCGCTGGGTCCCCAGTGTGTCTTCCCGGTAGCGTCTCCTGTCACTCCAGAGGAAATGTCCCCGACTTCCTTCCCCCTTCCCGCACCACCCCCCCCTATGTGGGCGGAGACCAAGGGCTGCTTCTGTCTCTATTTTGCAAACCTTTTAAACCTACTGCTCCCAGAGCCCACAGAGCCCTCTCGGCCCTCGCCCCAAAGCAAAGCTGGAGGACTTGGTCCGGAAACGGAGTGGTCTGGGTGGGGGAAGAGATGTGACCAGAGCAGTGGCGACGCAGAGGGTCGCCAAGGGTACGACCCCTCTCCCCAGGCCTGGGTACCATCCCTCCTAAGTCTTCCCCACGCAGTCCGGCGCTAGGCGAACAGTCGTCACTGGAGGGTCTGGGCGCGTTCTCACCCCAGCTCGAGCTCCGGTCTTGGGTGGCGATCCGGGTGCCCGCCCGCTCGGCCAGCCCTCCAGGTCCCGGGAGGGGGGC